ACATGCATAGCTCATATATACAAGACCGCACCTTTTTGTTAGAATCTGGTCGTTGGATGATACCGACACCCTCAACAGACATTGAGAACAGCAGACCGCGAGAGAAACTGGCAGAAGGCATGGGGAAGAATTAGTAAAGTAAAGTACATGATTGGGGTGACAATTTCCCCCTCCATCTACAGCTTGAGATCGTGTATAAACATATAAAACTGCAGGTGGAAAACATAATCACATACTGCATGTCTTGATCCCTGTATACATGCAGGATGCATGGACTCAAAAGTACGTGCACATATCCTCTATCTAGGCATGGCGCCTAAGTATATAGGTATAGCGAGTCACATTGCTCAGCGTGCAAAAACATGACTGGGACAGTCGATATGACAATGGGCATCTTAGCAGTCCATCTGAGCTCCCACTAAAATCCGCTCTCTGCAATACTAACTACAATGATGTGCCCCCTCCATGTAAAACCTGGACTGGGAATCATTGCGGCGAAAGCCGATAGCCACTAGCCAGTTCCCAAAGTGGATGCCCACCTGACACAAAATAAGGAAACAGTTTCTATAACCATGGCTACTACGTACGTGTATACGTCAAACCAACTGCATGCATGGTAGACATACATGCTTGATGTGACTAACGTCTAACTCCGTGTGCGTTAGCATTCGCGCAATCGTAGTCCACAGAAAGCTAACAACACCTGATAATCCCTAAACCTTAACACTACACCCATGAGCGCCTGCAACACCGTCCCTCATGCATTCCCATGTAACGGCTCCACGCAAAGGAACTGTACGTACCCAACCTACCTGTATGTAACTACGGGAGAGATGTTCATGATCGCGATGTCTCCCTCGAGTGTCCGTCCGTGTGGTCCAATAGCACAGCCAATCTCTCCACCCAGCGTGACGTTGCCGCGTGCAAAGGCCTGGAAATGGATGGGACATGGATGGTAGGTATGAAACCAATACGGTTGAGCCCTAACTGATTTCGATTGCTAATACTCGTCGCACCAACCCGGTATATGTCGTGGTATATACGGCATTTGCGGCCTACTGGGAGTGTGTGCTGGTGACAGACTCATCATATTCACTGCAGCGGTCAATACAGTACTATCCGTTCTGCAATAAGACAACAGTAGTGCACCTCAACACAGTGCAAGCTATGCACTGATGAAGCAACCTATACCTCATGTGTATGGTAGCCGCGCCGGCCCGCAGTCACTGATACATACTTAAATAACACACTTTATACACACACACAAGAGGTTCTGTGCACAACAATCAAACTCGTATGTTCACGTATGTCAGAGCATGCCTTCGTGCGACATCATCACTGATCATCCACGAAATGCGTATACTCCAAAGATTAAAAAATATGCTTCAAGTAGTCGACTGGGATAACAGGACTGTATATACTGTGCTGCGGCATGTCTACGATATATCAGCCATATTTGACCCCGTACGCGCGCTAACTATAAACCTGTAGAACATACCTTTACTGCGTTGTCTGTTGTCAGAATCATTACCAGATCAATCGCAGCTATTCCTAACTGGAAACCAAATAATCCACCGGCGAGTCCAAAACCTATATATAAATCAATTTATTGTCATTCAGTGAGACAAATCACTCGAGTGTGCACGTGTGCGCATATCATCAAGCAGATCTTAAGTTGTTCGTGATCTTTAAATAGTCACAACACATATGTACATTTATCTATGTCAAAGTTAAGTGGCGGACGATTGAATATACACCGGGTTCAGAGCAGTGAACCGCGACACACCTATCGGATCGCTCCATTCGTCTGTTTTCGGATCATGTTTCAAAACAACGCCGGAGCCACCTCTGTCACGAAGAATTATATTTAGCATATCAATGATTGGTTAGTGGACTGATGACAAGTCAACCTACAGGCGAGGCGTGGCTGGTCGCACTTTTTAAGGAGAAATAAACGCCAATCTAAGCTCTGGACCAACAAAAACACTTAACAGAATCAGCGCAAAGACGGGCTGGCACACTAGCAGACAAACGCGGAGGCTTCTCTGATACACGAACCTCGCTATAGATAAATCACTTACTTAACACCACCTAGTAGGATACTCATCTGCGCCAGGGTTGCGATGGCAACGCCCTTGCAGCTTCTGAACAGCTTAGGTGGGATCGTATTCAGCACGGACTTGACCTTGCTCTTCGTGTCTTTCACACTCCCGGACTATAATAAATAACCAAATATTGTGATGCATCTGCTTAGTGTGTGCACATAATCACTTAAGGAAAAGACATCCACGCATAGGGGAGAATTTGAAGTGTGTACAGGGTGATGATATAGGTATCCATATACATATGCCAGTGTGATAACAGCGGTATTGTATTTATAAATATACATATATATATATCTATATATCTATATATCTATATATATATATCTATCTATATATATATATCTATCTATATATATATATATACTACATATATATATATATATATATATATATATATATATATATTATTATAGTAGTAGTACGTATACTAACTAACTAACTAACTAACTAACTAACTAACTAACTAA